CTTGTTAGCAAACATAACATACCTCCGAGCAGTATTTTGACTGACTTGTTTCACACCAATAGTTAGGCCTTTTTAGCTCACCTGAGCTGAAAGCTCAAGTGAGCTTTTCTGATCACCCGTTGTCCGTCGTCCGTCCGTCCGTCTGTAAACTTTTCACATTTTCAACTCCTTCTCAAGAACCACTCGGCCAATTTTAACCAAACTTGGTACAAAGTATCCCTGGATGAAGGGGAATTTAAATTGTTAAAATAAAGTGCCAAGTCCCCTTACAAGGGGAGATAATCAAGAAAAGACAAAAAAAGGGGGGGTCATAAAAAAATCTTCTTCTCAAGAACCAATGGGCCAGAAAAGCTGAAACTTACAGGGAAGCATCCTGGGATAGTGTAGATTCTAAATTGTTAAAATCAGGACCCCCGGGGGTAGGGCGGGGCCACAATAGGGAATCCAAGTTTTACATTGCAATATAAAGGAAAAATCTTTAAAAATCTTCTTCTCAAAAACCACTGGACCAGGAAAGCTGAAACTTATGTGGAAGCATCCTGGGATAGTGTAGATTTTAAATTGTTAAAATCAGGACCCCCGGGGGTAGGGCGGGGCCACAACAGGGAATCCAAGTTTTACATTGAAATATAGAGGAAAAATCTTTAAAAATCTTCTTCTCAAGAACCACTGGGCCAGAAAAGCTGAAACTTATATGGAAGCATCCTGGGATAGTGTAGATTTTAAATTGTTAAAATCAGGACCCCCGGGGGTAGGGCGGGGGCCACAATAGGGAATCCAAGTTTTACATTGAAATATAGAGGAAAAAATCTTTAAAAAATCTTCTTCTCAAGAACCACTGTGCCAGAAAAGCTGAAACTTATGTGGAAGCATCCTGGGATAGTGTAGATTCTAAATTGTTCAAACAGAACCCCCTGGGGATAGGGCGGAGCCACAATAGGGAATCCAAGTTTTACATTGAAATATATAGGAAAAATCTTTAAAAATCTTCTTCTCAAGAACCACTAGGCCAGAAAAGCTGAAACTTGCGTGGAAGCATCCTGGGGTAGTGTAGATTCTAAATTGTTAAAATCATGACCCCCGGGGGGTAGGGCGGGGCCACAATAGGGAATCCAAGTTTTACATTGAAATATATAGGAAAAATCTTTAAAAATCTTCTTCTCAAGAACCACTAGGCCAGAAAAGCTGAAACTTATGTGAAAGCATCCTGGGGTAGTGTAGATTCTAAATTGTTAAAATCAGGACCCCCGGGGGTAGGGCGGGGCCACAATAGGTATTACAAGGGGCGGATCTGGTAAAGAACAGCATGGCCAAAGTTACTCAGGTGAGCGATGTGGCCCATGGGCCTCTTGTTATACTAAATTTGACTAAGGAATGTCCCGTCTATACCTGATCAACAGAGGATGCTTACTCCTCCTAAGCACTGATCCCACCTCTGAAAGTTCTAGGGTCTGTGTTTTATGCTCGTTTTATGCAGGAACCTGTTCACAGATTTGTATTGTTTGAAGATTTTTTGAGATCGATCACTGTTCGTTATTTTCACCTTTTTCGCTTTGCTAAATTGTGTGATTTTGGAGTGCCAGATACCCTTGTATATGACTTGTACTTTACAGGTGTCCTATCCGAGGGATATGGGAATCAAACAACTCAGATAGCTTTTTATATTTCTTTATTCAGTGCATTTGTCTTCTAATTTTTTGGAAATATTTGGTTTACCGGTGTTTAAAAAATACGATGCATCTTTTCTCAAATACAACCGTTTATTACTGTTAGTTTGTTTATTTTGACTTCTTACATCTTTTGCCCATTTGAACTTCGTATAAAACGTGTTTAATCTGTTTGAACTCTTCGTTTACTTTAGCAGTTTCTCCGCTGTCTATGACACTTTTATTTTATAACATGTTACTGTCATATGTTCTATGTCAATATTTAAAGAGTTTGTTTGCCAAGTCCTCCCTAAAAAGACACTTGCAGTAACCTGCTCTATCTGTAGGGGGATTAGCTCGCAGTGATTACCTGGGATTTAATTAAATCACCGCATCTATTAGAACGATATAACTCCGGTCACTTTTCTTTTGAATATTACACAATTTGACTCATTGTATAATCATTACGGTATTATTTGGGCTTTACCAGTTACCAGTTATACTGTTTTGAGCTCGTGGTCAGTTATAATGTTTTGAGCAGGTGGTGACTAATGTGAAAGAAGTATGGCAGCGAGGAAATTATTGGCCAATGCTATAAAAAGGACGTAAGTACTGATTTTAATATTTATATATAGAAAGAAAATTATGAAATTCAACGTATCTCTATTACAGAACTGAAAATATGCATGCCACAAAACATCTCTTAGGCATACCTGATCAAATGAGATATCAATTAATAATACTGGTAATAATGATAATAGAAATAATATTGCTTTGTCTCGTGGGTATAGATTTTGAAGATTTTTTTTCTTTCACTGAATTAACGATAAGCCAGATTTTTTTCTTTTTTAAAG